ACCCCAAACACCCGGTCCCTATAAACAAAATGGGGCAACCTCGGGGCATCCAGGGAAGCAACTAAATGAGCGTGCTGCAACAACCTAAAGCTACCTTGCAACGCGCGAGCCGCCTGCACCCGAATAATATCAGATCGGGTGTGTCGGAAAATCCGACACCATTTAATAATATTACATACAATAGGCAGATAATATTGCTGCTGTGTTGTATACACAAGTTACCCATAGAAAATGTAGCTTGTAGTGGAATTTTCTGTCAATAGAAAATGGGATATCATTGCCACATAGTACTATAAATTCACCAGCTATTCTGTTGGGAATTATTCTTAAATACATTAGTCTTTGGACTTTTAATATCATAAAAACATCTCATTTGAGTGAACTTAATTATCAGTATCATAATAGAGTAAAATCTTTCTAACAAATCTGACCTAACATAAGCTTTCCCTTCCATTTATCTTTCTTTCTCTCCTCTCTTTTTTTCTGTTTATTGTTTTCTCTTACATTCCCTTACTATCCTCTTCTTATTCTTATTACTATCTCCTCTCATTCGGTGGTTTTAATGGGAGCAGCCTCATATGGGCCAATAGGCCCTCTGCACTTCTTATCCCTACTGCTATCCCCTCTACTACATCTTACTTTGCTCCTCACTGCTCTTGCCTATTTATTGCCGGCATCTACTTTCTCATCACAATCGACTTGAGAAGGGTCCAGGACGGACCGAAACGTCGTCGTCCCTTCACCTTCTAGTGTGTGGTTTGGTCAATATAATTTAGCCACGTTATTGTGACTCACCTCCTGCATAATAGAGTAAATGTGACCCTTCTATCACTTACTGACATCTGGACAAAGTGAGGAAGGTCAGCCATTGTTAAGACCAGAGGAGCTATGGGAGCAAATTGAGCTCCTATAATTTCTCTTGGACGAAGTGTTATGGAGATCAAATTAGTGTTCTACCATCATCAACACACTGTCAACAACCACAAGGGAAGTGTCTTTCCGAAATCTTATCTTAAGTCATTATTGGCCAGTAATGTAGGTAGATATGATTAATTACGGTTAGGATGCGAACGAGCCTCTAAATACAGGTAATTAAGACTTGGTCCTTATCTTATATAATACTGTATACAGTGTTTTCTCTGATATAGCTGTCATATATTAGGATTCCGGCTTTACAGCTAGTGCCCTTTGACAGGAACAAGAGGAGGAAGCAACAATTAATCTTGGTACATCAGTTACTTGGGTGATGGAAGCTAGTCTCACACGAGGATAATTTGGTGTCTACATCCTAGTTATATCTGGTGGACTAAGACTGCTGTACAATAAGATAAGGCACCCTCAATTTTATATGCTAATATATGTAGTTTAATACTGTAGTTTGATCAGCTGCATATATATATATAAATTTAATATAAACCTCTCCTAATGTGTAAGGATCGATTTGTGAGAATTTGCAGAAATACAGTCTACTTAACCTCGTACAAATTGCTATCGAAAAATATAAATTAACGTAAATATAAATTCTATATAAATTCATATAAATTAAATATAAATCTCACAGGTCGGTTCCCACAGGGTGAACTGAGTCACAAACAAGAAACAAGCTCACAGGACTCCGGGTCAAATGTGTCACCGACCCAGCAGGCAGCCTGATGGAGGCAAAAAACAATGAGCGTCGCCCTGAGACAAGGGGACAGAGCAACCCTCAAATTTGCAAAAAGCGAGAGGGGACTCAGGGGTCACATCCAGTGGACCCGAGCGCCCTGTGGGGTTTCCCAGGGCCCCAGGACTGGGTTTGCTAAGGGTTTACTCAGGCAGGGTACTGCTAAGCGGCACCCAAGCTACCAATTAACACTGCTAAAGCTGAACCCCCAGAATGTGTCCAGTCACGAGGACGAAGCAGGGGGGGGGGGTACAACCAAACACAAACAACCCTAGTAGAAGGGGAAGGAACACCAAGGCAGGACCCCCCCCCCCCCCCAACAGGCAAAAATAAAAATAAAAGAAAAACCTCGCATGAAGACAGCGTACCCAGAGGGAACAGAGCCGGGATAGGTGAATCGGTGAAACCATGTCATAGGTGAAAACTAGCTACACAGTACCATGCACCCCTACCAAAACCACGAGCCAGAACCTGGCCTCCTCAGAGAGGCACTGGGAGCAATGGCCTATGAACACTTTACGTTTAAATTACTGTATGTCATACTTGCCATCGACTGGGAAAGGACCCAGAACAGTAGTCGAATCAAAACAGACCACTGTCTGGTTGAAAACTGCGAACTACATCCTCAAAATAGCAGAAGAACTCCGTCAGAAATAAAAACAAACAAGCAACACTTCATCAAACTAGCCCCCCTTCCCGTTCATTAGTGCTACCCCCTCTTCTGTGGGGGTTAACCCTCAAACCGCGCATATCATATATAAATGATATCAGTGACAAAACCGAAACCGCGCACATCATTTATATACGATATCGTGTCTAGCGCTATAATTTAAACGCCCCGCCTGGGATAGGGGCAGCTATAGTACAGCCACGACCGATAGTTGCCAGATGCCACCTAGAAAAAAAAATCCAGGCCAACATTCTTGGGTGTTAGGGCGTCAGTATTGAGCAAGCCACCAAGGCTGGAGCACGCAGCACGAGCTCACAGCACCGCTGTTCGGCTTGTGACCACAGCATCGCCTACAAATGCAATAATATATATGATACTGCTATTATTTAGCAGTGATAGTATTACTAAATTATTACTTATTGATAAGCTTAATGATATTGATTATAAGATATTGATTACTTAATGATAAGCCCCCTGACTGTGATAAAACTGACCAGGATTCTGATAATAGCAGGATTGTGGTGATATTTACCGCTGTGCTCCATGGAGGGAGGAGTAAGGGTGTGGGAGGGAGGGTTGTGGCGTCGTCTTCTGACTGTGTGTGGCCACCATTTATTGACTGCACTCACCATACCAGCTTAGTGGTTTGCTATGGTGAACACAAATGTAGATACTTGTATATAACGTGTGTATAGTGTGAGATAACAGCGAGAGGAGTAGGTTGGGAGCCGCCATTTTGGTGAGGGAGGAGCGTCGTCTGCACGACTTGGCATGTTGTTTACTGATGGCCACTATGGTCTTTGGGCACCATACCAGCTTATTTGTACAGGTATGGTGAATAAAACAGGTAGATACTTATATATAATGTGTGTATATAGCATAATAACACCACAAACAATATTGTTGGACAAGAAATATTAGTGCGTCTGGCCTTGAGGGCGGCCGCCGATTAGCTGACTGTGTGAGTAGCTACGTCTTTGTGCCTTTACTCACCATACAAGCTTAGATGTACAGTTATGGTGAACAAAACATGTAAATACGTATATATAACGTCTGTGTATAGTGAATAAATGCAAAAACAGTATTGTGAGAGGAGAATGAGGGCGAGTGAGGTGGTGTTGAGGGAGGGAGTGGCAGTGAGTGGTTCGCTGGTGTTTGGCAGTCACTCCTCGTTGCTTTTTGACTCACAGGACCAACTTAGTAGTTCGTTATGGTGAACAAAACATGCAGATACTTATATATAACCTGTGTATATAGTGTAACAACAGCAAAACTATTTGTTTATTGTTTTATGAACATAATAATTGAATCATTAATATGCACACCATAATTTTGAGTACAGCGATGGTTCACACACTTTATTATATAAATATACCACAATTCACTGTATGGAATAATATTACTGCAAAAAAACTAAGAAAAAATCAATCAGAGACATTGAAATAATTAGGTAATAATATCTTTGTGGTAACTGCCATCTGCCATCTGACAGCATCTGACAGCCTCGTCTGGCGAAGGCTCTGCCAACGCCCCTTTTTTGCCACACTTCCCTACCCTATTGTGGCTAAAATATGCCACCTACGATTTTTTTGTTATTTTTTCCGTGATCAGGGAACAAAAATGAACACTTCTATAAGACGAAAGAATTTATTGGAATATTTTTTTTGTTGCGCCTGTGGGTGTGAATTCCATTTGGTCCTCTAGCAGTTGAGGGTTAAGGGGAACCAACCCGGGTGAGCCAACAACCCACTAATTCAGTTGGTTGAATGTTCATCATTCATCTTGAATGATGAAAGCCTCAAAAACCGAATCCTGCAGGAAGTAAGCGCCAAGAGTCTCCCAAACCTTTACAGGGGATATCCAGGAGCAAGAAAACCCCCAGAAAGACGAATCCGAGGAACACAGAAGGCACCCGGAACCGCATCCAACTCAAACTCAATGGGAAGGAGAGTACAAAAACCCCCCATCCCTGCAGAAGCAGCCCCACAAAGAAAGCACAAGGGGCCCAAGCAGGATTAAACGGAAAGAGCTCCACTCGGACTTCCCCCCCCCACCCCTCCGAGCCCTGGAAACCACCAACAAAGGTTCCAGGGCAGAGCCTTCATCCACGCCCACAGCCTCAGAAGGAAAGGCGGAGTCCAGGGGGAAAGGCGGAGTCCAGGGGGAAAAGCTTTAAAGAAGGGAATCAGCTGGATAGACTCTGAAGCCTCTGGGGGAAGAAGAGGCTCGACCACCTCCGCACCCAAATCGGTAGGGGCAGCCCCTGAAGCCACCCGAGTCTCATCCTGAGCTAAAACCCACCCCGATTCCAAAACCCTCAGGTGTGTGGGAGCCGGAAGCAGCAGGAGGGAAAGAGAAGGGCGAACCATGCCCACCTGGGAAGGAAGAGGGGGGCGTGGACTAAACCAAGGCCACCCACGAATACTGCCCAAGATTTTTTCAAAACGGCAACTGTTTACCGAGGCCTGAGAAAATCGATGTGAGCACCATATACCCGCGGGAGTTTTAAAATCTTACGATGTAGCCTAATAATTCATATAACAGGATGCGCAGTCTGAGCATAATTACTTACTCCATCATGTGAGAGATGCCAGCCGAAGGATTAAACACTGCTAATGTTCCCAAAATTTATCTTCAGTTTTCAATAATCAAAGTACAAAAACTTACCTTTCATAACTAGCTGGTCATCACAGAAGGGAACTCTCCGCAGGTCCACACAGTAATCGTAGTTAAGTGCCCCATCCCAGCGCAGCCTTTGTATATGACCGGTTCCTGTGGCAACCATTAACTCATCCCTCAGACACACTAGGCCTGTCACTCCTCCAGCTACTTCAGTTTCCGTTGCCTATGGAAGTCCAAAGTTTTACATTAATTTGTTATTAATGGACAAAACACATTTGTTACAGAGCTCATAGGCTTAGCAAAAAACTCATCTTCCACTGACTGGCTACACACTTCTAAAAATTATTCTGTGCCAATCTCTCTCTTGGCTATGTAATATTAAATCCTGGTTAAAGTTTCTAATAAAATTAACCCCATAGACATATCAAATTCTTTATAATTTTATTAAGGTTAAATAGATTTATCAAACAATCTCTTAAAATATTGTCCTTGAGAACCTCTCCCTTATGAGGGTGGCCTAACTACAAGTTTATTGTCTCCTTACAATACACACCTGACAGAACACCAAAAAATTTTCTCCAAATAATTTGTTAACACACGGAACGAAGTACTTTTGGACTGGCAGATTCATTAACCTCATCCTGGAAACATTCATGTATCAAGTAAGCTATGAGAATTAGGGAAGAGGAAGTTTCTTCAATGCTGGATTTGATATTCACCAGGAAAGACGACAAGATATTTGAAATCTTCCATTTTTGGATAAGAGACAATATCCTTTTGGAAACAAAATATGCAATGCATTATAATCTAGAAGTAAATGATGAAAATGAAGCTAACGGAAAACTTGATTTGGAAGAAGACACTATGGGGAATTTAGAAAGTTTTTTAACGAATTTGATTGGAAAGACATTAGGCAAGGAAGTAAATGAGGTGTATGCCAAGTTTTGTGACACACATGAAGGCACAAAAACATTTATACCAAAAAGGAAATGCAGAACTAGAAATAGGGTTGGTTCAACAGAAATTGCAAGAGAGCTAAAGACCAAAAGACAAAAAAATGGTATCAATACAGGAAGAGACCAAACCCTCAAACATACCAGCAACACAAAGATGAAAGAAACAACTACACCACTGTGAGAAAAGAGACAAAGAAATTTTGAGAAAGCGATAGTAGACAAATGTAAAACAAAACCAGGCTAATTCTATAAATTCATTAAAAGCTAATTGCACATAAAGGTTAATATTCAGAGGTTGAAAATGGGGAACAGATTCACAGAGAAAGAAAAGGAAATGTGTGAAATGCAAAACAAGCAGTTCTACAATGTGTTGTGTAAAATTAAATCAACAGAGAACTGGACAATACAAATGTCAGTAAACAACACAGGGTACATAGGTGTCTCGAGATGACATGGAAAAAAAACAGCGTTGAATGTAATGAAACGATGAGACGATGTCTCTTCCAAGCTGCACGCTTACAGCGGACAGCCCGAGCACAGTCCACATTCCACCAGGGAACACACTTTCGCATTCCCCGAGAGGAAAAGCAAGGAATAGAGCGGAGGGCAGCGTCGAAGACGGTGTCATAAAAAAGGAGGAGGGCGCAAGGGAGAGGCAGAATGGAAAGGTTGGAGATAGTAGTACGGAAGGTAAAGAGGGGCCAGTCAGCCATGGCAAACTGCCACCTAGGGAAAGAGAGGGGAGGGTGAAAAGAGAAAAAGGAAACAAGGATGAGAAAATGGTCACTGCCATGAGGTCATCAAGAACCTGGCACTCAAAATCTAAGTAAAGGGAAGACGAACAAAGAGAAAGATCAAAACAGGAAAGGGAGCAAGTCCGAGAGTTCAAATGAGTGGGCTCACCAGAATTCAGAAAAGACAGAGAAGAAGAGAGGATGAACGGATCAACAAGGCGACCTCGGGTGTTTATCAGAACATCACCTCAAAGGGTATGTCGATAATTGAAATCACCTAGCAGGAGCACAGGCTCCGGCAAGGAGTCCAGTAGGTGTTAAAGATCAGGAAGAGAAAGTGGGACACTCGGAGGGAGATAAATGAAACAAACCGTGTACCATTTCCTCACAAAGATACGAGCAGCAGAACAATGGAAAGGCGAAGGAAAAACAAAGGGAACATCAGAGCGAATCAAGAGAGCAGAAGAGTTAGGAGCCCCAGCAACAGCTGGGGGGGGGGGGGGGAGGGAGAGAGAGAGAAAGGAATAGCCATGAAAGCGACCAGGACGAGCACCAAGCATCGGCTCCTGGAGACAGACACAAAGGGGCGAAAATCGTGAAAGCAGAAGTTGGAGTTCAAGGAAAGTGGCGTAATAACCACGAATGTTCCATGGAAGAATAGATATCGACAGGAAGAGACAGGACAGCAACAGAGAACAAGGAAGAAACAAAGGTGAACGAGGAACATAGCACGTTAGAGAAGGTCAGGGTCAGGATCAGGGTCAGCAAAGTCAGGGTTAGGGGACATGGGTAAACTGAGCAAAGAATGAGGGAAGGAAGCGGGAGAACAGACCAGAGGAGGACGGGCGGGGTCCGGAGGAGGAGGAGGAGGAGGAAGAGACTACTGAGAGGAGCAGTCAAGGACAGCAGCAGAAAGAGGGGAGCGCACCTCAGCAAGGGCAGCAACCGAGAGGGAAGCGGGGGCCAAAGAAACCTCCATAGCAGGAACAGGGGGCGCAATCACCAAAACAGGAGGGGAAGGAGCGAGAGAGTCAGAAGTAGGGCCGAGGAAGAAAGCGAAGCCTTCTTACCTGCCGGGGAGGAGGAAGGAGAGGAGCCAGGCTTACGCTTCTGACTCAAAGAGATAGGTGTCCCAGCAACAACGTACTGGGCAACAGATTCTAGCATCTCAACGGAAGCAGAACGAGAGCATACACGACGGCCATTGGGTGAGTGATGGACATCAGCTCGCATCGACAGGCGGCGTGGAGAGCCAATAGACTGAGGAGAAGGACGGGAAGGAGGATTGGAGGGAGACGAGGAAGAAGACATAGGAGACACGACAGACTGGGTAGAAAGAAGGGGAACCCCAGACAAGAGAGCCATGAGGGGAACCCTTCGGGACAGAACGCAAAGGAACAGAGGTGGTGGCGGTAAGAGTGTCTGGGTCTAAGGCCCGGAAACGGTTTACAGTGGTACCTCGGAATGCGATTGTCCCTGTATGCGAGGTTTTCGGAAGGCGAGGTGTATTTACTCCAAAAATTTGTCTCGGAAGGCGATGGTTACTTCGGGAGGCGAGTTTGGACGCGAGTTTGTTGATACGCGTACAGCCGACCTAGCGCGTTCGTCGCCCCTCCGCCCCGCCGCCCCTCAGTTTATTATTGTCTCGCGCTCAGTGACTACCCCCACATCAATTCTTCTCGCGGATTTTCAGTGTTTTGTTGGATTTTTGGTGATTTGTCTATACAATTTGTTATTATATATCTCACCATGGGTCCCAAGAAAGCCAGTGGTAAGGATAAAGGCCAGAAAGCTCATGTGAGGATGACAATAGAGGAGAAACAAGAGATCATTCGGAAGCATGAGAACGGTACACGTGTTGTTGAACTTTGTAGGCAGTACAACAAAGCCACATCAACAATATGCACTATACTTAAGAAGAAAAATAAGATTATGGGTGCTAAAGTGGCAAAAGGAGTAAGAACATTAACGGCACAAAGACCACAAATACTTGAAGAAGTGGAAAAGTTGTTATTAATTTGGATACACGACAAGGAGTTGAGGGGTGATAGTGTTTCGGAGGCCATTATTTGTGAGAAAGCCAGGGTGTTGCACGAAGACCTTCTAAAGAATACCCCTGCAACGAGTGATGCAGATAAGAAAGAGTTTAAGGCAAGCAGGGGCTGGTTTGAAAAATTTAGAAAGAGAAGTGGTATCCATAGTGTTACAAGGCATGGGGTTATGTGATGTGATTATGGAAGGGGACTCCCCTTCCAAACAGTAACTCCTCTCCTCCTCCCCCCTCCTCACCATCTTCCATACGCCTACAGCACTCGACAGCAAGGTAAGTAATAACTGGAACACAGTTTTGTAGGTTTATTTAGATGAATTAGGTAAATTAGGTATAAAAATTTAGTTTGATGTGGGGTTTTTGGGGTAGTCAGGAACGGATTAATTCATTTCCCTTTATTTCTTATGGGGAAATTAACTTCGGAATGCGAGTTTTCGGAAGGCGAGGCGTCTCCAGGAACGGATTAAACTCTTATTCTGAGGTATGCCTGTATACCATCAAAGGTAATCTTCACAACCCGAAGGGGCTGACGGCAACGGCCACGAGGGGGGTACATGTAAATGTGACTACCTGGAGAACAGAATGGCCCTGGGCTTCGAGGATATGCCAAATATCATCGTGGCAGTCCTGCAGATTCCGAACACCAGTTGCAACATGGGGCGGGAGGAGAATAGTGCCAGCACTGGCATTCAACCGAGCGTTCTTCTTGACCCAAACAGGGGTCTCGCCAAGGAAGGATAAGGCAGCTAAATGGGAGGCTGCATCCTGAGAAGGAGCAGCAATAACACGTGTATCGAGATGGGTGGGGTTGAAGGTAACAGAGGCATCTACGGAATCAACAAGATGCCCATGGAGGGAGAAATTATCAGGAGGCGTAGAATCAAGAGGGAGGAGATCAAAGTATTTGGCCCATGAAGCGGGACCAAACAAGGCTTGATACGCATCAGTACGGGAAGGAATCGAGTGAGTGCAGCCATGGCGCGGACGGGAGAACCCCCAGAGGGAGGGGTTGAAAGGCGCAGTAGTCACAACCAGAGACTGAGCCGTGCCAGGGAACAAGGTAATTCCCTAAGTGTAGTTACAGGATGAGAGCTACGCTCGTGGTGTCCCGTCTTCCCAGCACTCTTTGTCATATAACGCTTTGTATTCGTTGTCTTGTTGGGTTGAATATTATACACAGTAGGCACTTCTGTAGTTTTATTGACTAAGACAGCAAGGTGTATAACTAGCCAGCCGAGGTCCACCTACTCAGAGTCTCTCGGGAATACTGAGCCTGCTGGGAGCACGGCTGGTGACTGTGTCTGGCATGACGTCAGAGGCCTACTCGCCTGTGATTGGTTATGTCTCAACGGACAAACAATTTGAGTATAAAATTTGAAACTACTGACGGTCTCAGCCTCCACCACCTTCTCACCTAACTTGTTCCAACCGTCTACCACTGTTTGCGAAAGTTAATTTTCTTGTATTTCTTCGGCATCTGTGT